AACAGGTCCAACCACGTAACTGAACACACTGAGCTAGTCTGTGGTTGAAACCTTTGGTCTTTCCCCTTCTCTGAACCTAAAGGCTTTTGACTGATGTTAGTGGTTAGAAGTATCAGTGACTTTTCTGTCTTTTTTCCTGAACAAAGGTATTGAACAAGTGCCCCAGAGAAGTTGGAAGAACAGGTTGCCTGGGGAACCTGTGGGTGTCCCATCCCTGGAAGTGTTCAAGGTCAGGCTGGAGGGGGCTTTAAGCAACCTGATCTAGTGGAAGATGTCCCTGTTCATAGCAGGGGGGTTGGACCAGCTGATCTTTAAAAAGGCCCTTCCAACCCAAACCATTCTATGATTCTATCATTCTATGTACCTAATACAATGAATGAGAGGAGAGAGCAAGTATTTGGTGAAAAAAAAGATAGTGAAAAGTTCCTGATGGCATATTTGACTAAGATTGTCCGACAACATTTTTGCCCCCAGGGGATGTCTCTGTATCACCCATGGGGCAGTTAGAACAGTCTGCTAGATGTTTGACTGGTAGCTACAATTCTGGGCTGTTTAAAATGAATTTATCCTGCTGTCGGCCCTTCCATCCATAATGGAAAACGTTATAGCTCTCAGGTTTTCCTGCCTCCAGTTTTCTGAACTTCTCTAGTCAAACGACAAGCTCTCACAGTGTTACAGTGTTCTGGTGTTTTCAAAACAAAAATGTGCTTTTGGTGGCTACTGAAACTATTACTAACCTTTGGCAAACACTCTTTCATGTAAATGAGAATTTGTTTCATGTTACTTTTATCTACAAATCACACTGGTCACGGGTAATACCATCAGTGACCATTTGAGGTAGAAAAGCTTGAGTTAGACAAGTCTATTTTTAAAACTAAGTACAGTCTCTTTGTGAGTGATAACCTTTCTGCATGAGTTTTCAAGATGGCTGTTGAAATTAACATTGCTGTGTAATGTTTTTTATTATTATTATTATTATTATTTAATTACATAAAGCTGGCAATTTTTTGTGCAGTCTATGATACATACATATTTTTGGAAGGTTGAAGCTGGAATATCAATCTATGAAGCAAAACTTCACCCTACCAAACTCTTGCAGGGGAATTTACTGTTCACACAGTGTAGAAGAACAAAGTCTCAATTCAATTTCACTTCAGGACAGATAATAAGAAAACAATTTTCTGAAATCTGCCTAGATTCCTAGCCATCTTGAAAGTATAAGAAATGCTTGCAGCAACATCTGTCAAATACACACCCATGCACTTAATAATTCCACATTTATTAGAATCATACATCTATTTAAATCTAAGAGGTATCTAAAAGATAATTGCCATTAAACATTTTTATGTGTTACAGCTGGAAGGCATGTCCAACACTGCATTCTTTTCAATGTGCTGATCAGTGTTACATTTGGAAAAGCTAGTGCACTGTATAGAGAAGAGAAAGAGTCTGTCACAGAGAAAGAAGCCAGAGGTCCTCTCACTAATGTGCCGACTCAAGAGCAGAGCTGTCATCTGTGCCTTAAAGATAAGAAGGGAATCAGTCGATAAGGATTATTTGTGACGTCTCCCCCTCGCACACCTCCCAACCCCTCTTCCTGCTTCTGTAGTTAGAAAAAGTTTACAGTGAAACTTTTTGTCTTCACTTTAGGTAGTTGATGAAGGCGTCTTCAAATAAACCTATGTGCTAGCACAGAAAAACCAACTGCACATATACAGCACATATTCTTGTATACATGAATACTTCGTGTACTCAGCTCACAAGATCCCCAAAGCTCTATAGGCTGTATATTCAATAAGCACATCTGGCTGCACACTGCCATCATGCACTCCCCTCCAAGGTAGACCTTTTTCAAGGCTTAAATGCACAAACAGACATTACACTGCCCTGTGGCACCCAACCTGGAGAAGACTTCCATATCCAATTGATAGTGCGGAAAATGTAAAGTATGCTTCCCTGGCTTATTGCTGCTGGATACAAATGTGCTCTGTCCTTACTTTGATAGATGCAAGAAACTCTGCTTGGAAAGGTACGTAACTACTGTGTCTGAATTACTCAGTTTCATCTAATGACCACAGTCGAACAGATTTTTCTGAAGTTTGGGTCATATAATTTTGGATAAAATATTTCTTATTTCTGGATATCTCAGAGCACAAGCACAGACAGAGTATCTGTGTGAAACAAATCTACATTCTCTCCAAAGACAGACATTAGTTTGGGAATAAATAAAAGTTTTAACAATTTGATTGTCTCCCTAACAGTTCAACTTTACTACTGAATTATTTAACAGATTCTGTTGCAGCAGAATGCTACTCAGCAGCATACTCTTCCAATGGAAGCCAACGGTAATGTCTGTTAGATCCAGTATATAAAGTTATTATGGTCTCTGATGACTTAGGAGAGGGAACATCACCTCCATACCAGATCTTGCAAAGCAGCTTTCTCAGCATCATAGTACCACTGAGATGTACTAATTCAAAGACCCATGGTCTTCACTGAGAAAGTGATGTGCCTTTCATTTCCCGAAACATCCGAGGCTCATTTATAATGAAGTTGTCATCCAACTGCTATTCAAGATGGGCCCTGATTAGTTTACAAGGTATGGAAAAAATCATCCATATATACACACTCAAAGTATTTCTAGACAGTGTGTGTGACAATCCATACGTTGTGGCACTATCAATGTAACATTTTGTCAAATTATGTGGTAAAATTACATTTAATCAAGAGGAGGTAGAGGACCTGTTTAAAAGATTGGCTCATGAAACCATGTTAGCTCTAATCATATCCCATCACCATATTTACCAAAAGGCTTCTGGGTCTTCTGAAGTTTAATTTTAAAACTGAATACTTCAGCCAAGGTTTTGTTATTTGCTTTAATTTAAATCACCTTCTGTTTTAAAAGGTCATAGCTATTTTATAATCAAAAATGCAATACATTCTTTGCCCAAAGAAATTTTAAGTCCTAGACAGTGTTCATTAGAGAAAATAGAAGCAAAATTAACCTCATTACTTAAAGTTTGGGAGCTGTTAGATGCTGTAATTATGAAGATAGAAGAGTTCAGTCACATAGACAAGACAGATCAATAAACTGCATGTTGTCATGAACAATTTGTCCAGTCAGTTTACAAAGATATCTCCACTGTGAGATTACTGAGTTAGACCTACTCAGGTCACTACATGCATTTGCATACCATTTCTTTGTCTATACTATGAGGGCATTTACTGAAAACTGTTTGTGAGATGGTACTAGAAATGTAGCTATTGCAAGAAAAGACATAAAGTAGGGAAGCATGGAAAAGGCTCAAAGACAAATGTGGCAGAAACACACGGAAGACAAAGCTATGGTGAAACAAAGGATATTAAGGAATTTTTGTTACATGTTACCATTTCTCAGTTTGCACAAAGATTTGGGATTTGACTGGCTGTAGATTAATTTAGGCCACAATGAAAAAAGCCCCTCTGTATCGAACCACAGTAATGCTCCTCACAGTGATGCAAGGGTTGTGACAACCGAAAGAGTGTCTTGTTACTTCAACCAAGTTGAATCTCAATCATTTATGCAAAAAGTATTTGCAAATTGGATTCTGATATTAAGCTGAATGGAAATGACCTATTGCAGGGAAAGAAAGGTCAGCAAGGACCTTTTTTTCAGTATGCAAGGACCTTTTTTACAGTACTTAGAGCTGTTGGGTAAATTTAGAAATATATAGCAACCAGTGACCTGAAAGGTAGAAAGAACTGGGAGTAAGTAACTGGTTTCAGTTATATAAGAACTCTGTTTTCACAGTATAATCAAAGATGTCAAGAAATTAGGCAAGCACTACAGGAATAGGGAAAATACCAGATTGATGAAGGTGAAAAGAAGAATTGGACTTTAGGAGAGAGACCAAACATTTGGGAAACTCTGAACTGAACAGATATCTAATTGTCTTCAGACTAGTGAACCAAGACATCATATTCCCTTGAGACACAAGGAAGGTGGGGAGGTAAATAGTCTGTCCTGGTATTTATTCTGTTTGTTTCAGTCATTTGGCAAGCTGACACCAAATTGGTCCCCACCAATTCTCTCAGCTCTCACCTGCCACTTGAGAAGGTCCCAACTCCCAATGTCCACTACTCAGTTTTTAATCTCTCAGGGAAGTGATCTTGGTTCCCCATCCTCAAAGCAGAGAAACTCTCCTCATGAATCTTTCCAATATGCATCCTTAAGGAAGCAAAGACACCCAGGCTGGCCATCACCTGAGAAGCAACAAACAACTGTAAATAGAATCAGGAATGAATGATTTCTTTTATAGGTCATCGAATCATAGAATCATCTAGGTTGGAAAGGACCTTCAGGATCATCTAATTCAATCATCAACCTAGCTCTGACAAAAAACCCCCAACTCTAAACCATGTCCCCCAGCACCATGTCAACCTGTCTTTTGAACACCTCCAGGGATGGTGCCTCAACCACTTCCCTGGGCAGCCCATTCCAATGCTTGATAACCCTTTCAGTGTAGAAATTTTTCAGTTTTTTGACCCGAACCTCCCCTGGTGCAACTTGAGGCTGTTTCCTCTAATCCTGTTGCCTGTGACTTGGGATGAGAGATTCACCACCTCCTCTCTACATCCTCCTTTCAGGTAGTTGTAGAGAATATCCTCCTTTTCTCCGGGCTCTTCATAAGACTTGTGCTTCAGACCCCTCACCAGCTTCGTTGCCCTTCTCTGGACCCGCTCCAGCACCTCAATGTCTTTTTTGTGGTAAGGGGCCCAAAACTGGACACAGTACTCGAGGTGGGGCCTCACCAGTGCTCAGCACAGGGATAAAATGCCTCAATGCAAAAGAAAATGAATCAGAAGTGTATTTGTGTTCATCTCTGGAATGGACTTTTTGGATGCATATGAGAGAGCAGAAAGAAAGGCAGCACATTGGCTTTTTTTTTTTTTTTCGGGAGGAGGAGCACTAGGATCCATAACCCACACTATCTTGCAGTAGACAGAGGCCTCTAGGCCCCAGAGCAGCAGGTTGAAACAGGCTAGCAGCAGTGAGAATATCAGACCAAAACAGGCTTGTTGGGTGTGCAGGATAGTAAGGCTCTTGGAGAGAAAAGAAGCAGAAAACAGTTGAGAAGAGGCTGGGGTGGGGGGGAGGTATAGAGAATCACATACTCCTGTTCAAAAAGTTTTCAGTGCAGCTCCACAAGACAGACAGACACATGGGTCACAGAGAGAGGCAGAAGGGAACAAAAAATATAGTTTTATGACAAGTGGAGCTGTTAGAAAGAGACGGTGGGTGGAGAGTTGCAGAAATGCATCCATTTCCCTTCCTCCCGTTTTCTTTAAAGGCATTTTTCTCAGAGTTTTTCCTCTCTTTTCTCCTCCCCACAGCCAAGCTGGGAAGAAGAGGTTGTCTCTGAACTTAGGAGTGTGTCTTGGCACAGAAGACTGATAGTAAACAAGTAAACAGAATTGACAACTGTGGCAACAACAGGAGCAAAGCCGGTGCGGTGAGAAGGATGAGGACTCTTCCAGAGGTAAGGAAGTGGATCTCTCCTGCAGTCTGCTGAGGTACCTCTCAGAGGTTGCACCTCTCTCTTTCTCTTGTCCTGTCGCAGCTGCACTGCTTATAGCCCTAGGGAACTGCAGCAGTTGAGGTTTTGACAGTTTATATCCAGAAGGGACTTGCCCAGGTCTCAGAATTAATGATGTGGGTTGTTGTGTGAGGATTTAGGAGTTCTTGCCCTTCCTCTTAGTCATCCTAATACCCATTCTGAGGCTGCATTCAGATCTGTTTGAAGAACTGACCAATAAGAAGCAGTAGTAGTAGTAGTAGTAATAATATGATTCACATCTTCTGTTGTATCCCCATTTTGTCTAAAAATTACTTTAAGAAGCTACTTGTGCAGAAATATGCCAATTTTTTCCCTACAAATAATTGTGGGTAAACATGTTTTCTGAGTGTGATGATGACATGGTAAGCCTAATCGCTCCCCATGTATTGTGGTGTCCTTTTCCTGATTTGATGGCTTGTATAAATAACTAGTAAAGTGTTAATTGCATATTTGCAGATGAATAACATTGAAATGAACTGTTAGCTCAGGCTTGCTAACATATATAAAACATTCAAGGACAATAGAGATAAATAAAGTTTTCTATGTAACTAAATAATATAGAAAAAGAAATGTGCATGTTCTGTTGAGAGCTGTTCAGTGTTGCAAGAGCTGTGGCTGTAATGCAAATGGTCACTTTATCTTGTTGACATTATTCTGGCGGAAGAATTTGCAAAACTGTTTGGTTTGTATATCCATTCTCATAATTCTGTGTGATAAAGATCAGACAACAATCATAACTTTAAATAGTTATTGGCCATGCTTCTGCGTCAGACTTTCAGTAGACCAGAACATAATTAAGCAAACTTTCTGTTTAGTTTCTCATGTTAGCAGGTACTATATTTTGAACACAGGCTAAAATATTATTTCTCAAATAACATTTAATGTGCTCAATTTATGTCCTTAAGTGATTTGCTCACAAAAGATAAATTTAAGAAAGTGTTGACATTTTTGTGATTATTGGGGCATTAGTCTGAAAACATGTCATCCACATGACTAATGTGATAAACACAAGTTGGGAAACAGCCAAAGTCAGTTATTCATGAATAATCTATAGGCTGAAAAATTATACCTCTAAATTGTCTGGTAAATAGTTATGAAAAATAATTCAAATTCTCCCTGCCTTTGATCTCTATTTTAGTTTATTTTCTTAAAATTTAGGTGCTGCTCTTTCTGCAACAGCTCTAAATACTGGGAAAATGCAAGGTGAGGAAGAGTCAGGCAGAGGAACTTCAACCTCCCTGCAGAATTCAGGAATAGCTCACGAACAGAAAGATGGAGATGTGGAAGGAAAATCAAATTCTTTGGCTGACTTAGTTGCATCAAACCTTTCTTCCTTTAGTGATAACAGTACCTGTCAAGATTCTGGTAGCCTAAGTCATTGAACTGGATGATTCATGTAATACATAAATTCAAAATTATTCATTTTATAATTGAGGACAATTAGAAGTCAGCTTTTAGTGATCTTACCGGCATTTGATCTCACTTAGCTACAGTGAAACCATTTAAATTTGACCACAAGTTCTCTCAAATCCAGCCCCAGTAACATAGGCAAGATTAGAAAGACATTCCTTATGGAAGGTGAAGTGTTTGTAGAACATAATGCATAGGCCAAATATAGACGTACTGTTAACCAGAAGTTCAGCAGAAGTTGCAATGACGGTCTTGAAATGCCAATTTCTTGTTAGTATCTCCATAGCCATGCCATTTAGTACTTGAGAGAAATAGACATCCTCTGATATTATGAGACCAAAGAATTGCAATATTATAAATATTTCATAATAGGAATAGTCTAGTGCAACAGAGAAGTCAGGAGCATTGTGAATGTAAATCATTCACTCTCTCCTCAGTTGTGAAAGATGAGGGTTTGCATGCTGAAGAACACTTTTCTTCTTCCTTTCCAGCCAAGCAAATCTTCTTTTGCTCACTTCTCTGCCATACTGTTAGGTCGTGAGGTTTACTCTCTACTCAAGGAGTGTTTTACTACAAAGGTGTATGAAAGGAATTTGGATTTCCTCCTTTGTGTTTCCTACATTGTGTGTTGCCAGTATTATCATGTTCTATATCTTAGCACCTTTTAATGCCAGCATTCACTTGTATGTACTTGCTCTCCATTTAGTTATACTGTATCCTCCCTAAGGTAGTCAGGAGAGTAGGATTTTAAAGGGAGAAAAGCAGTTAGGTATTTAACCCTTGTTAGCAGTTTCCATGAGCCAAGTAAGCTGACAAATGCTTGTGAGAGACTTCTGGTAATGACTGAAAAAAATGCATGTTTGAAAGATATAAAATGATGAGTTTTGGTTTTCTATTTCTTTCTGTGTTTTCTGTTCTGTTAATGTTTTTGTACAGGAATTGTACATAGTATATTAGGCAAGATGGTTAACAGCAGACTCTTTCACTTCCTTAGCCTTTCCTCAGGTGAAGGGGTCAGGTACTTAATTCTTGTAGGGTATTGCCTCAGTTCCTCTTGTAGTGTTTTTTGTTTTGTTTTTTTTTTGCTTTGTTGTTGTTTTGGTTTGGTTTGGGTTTTTTTTGGTAACGATCTGTGTTTTCTGGTTTTGTGGAAAAGATATATACCAAGCATAGTGACAAATGCAGTTTAGCTGCTGCATGTAAGGGAGCAGCAAGGGCAGACCAGGGAAGACAATCTAGAACCTGGGAGTCCTGACAAGGCAAACGAGGGGTAATGGCTTCACCAGCAAGGGGTGCAACCCCACAGCATGGGAATGAGGGATGTATGACAGGTCAGGTGGCAGTAGCCAGGGTCAACCAAGAGTGCAGATTGCCAGGCAAGTGCATTGTGGGGATGCAGGTCCACGGTCAAACCTGCAGAATCAAGTCTGTAGGTTAAGGTCAGGATCCAGATCAATGGGGTATGTGGCTGCTACTGCAGCGTAGCTCAGGTGCAAAAAGCAGCTCCCAAGTGAAGAAATGGGCATGTCCAACTGAGGCTGCTTCTAGTCTTTTCTCAAAGAGTTCCAAGGCCTGTCAAGATTTGTCAAACAGCTTTCAGGCTTGAGCACAGAGAGCTAAACTTGAGTCTGTGAGTCCAGGCCTCACAGTACAGGCCAGGCCCTGGCGCTAGCATGTAAGACTCTCAAAGTAGTTCTTCCATAAGCTTTCACACCTATGATGTTTACTCCTTGCCTGCTATACTGTTTTCTTCATCCCTCTTCCTCCCAGTTTTTCCATTATCGTCTGTTTTTTCCCCTTCTGCCTCCTTTTTCTCACTGTATATTCACTTATTCCACTTAATTTTTTTCAGTTCTTTCCCTTTGCTTATATTACCAGCATCCACTCCCATGTCTGTTCTTTTGTAATCTGCTGTTCTCCAGTCTTATGTACATCAAAGTAGGTAGACAATGGACGCTCATGGAAAATGTCATTTCATCTAACTTTATCAAGGGAGACATTAAGGGTGTATACTATCCTAGTCACCTATGTTCCTTTGCAGTCAATGGAGAAAAAGACTCCGGAGGATCCTGAGACAGATGTCTAGAACAGAAACTGTACCCGTAAGGTTCCTAGCCTTCTCCACTGACTAAAAAAACACACGTATTTTATGAACACAACTAAATTTAAGTGAGATAAAACCTTTCTGTATATAAGGTCTTTTCTTTGACTTACAGCTTCCTGCAATTTTTAGAATAGGTAAAGTTGTCTCCCCACTTCAACTGGACTAGAAGGCTTAGGATGCAGGAGTTATTTCTTGAGGAGAGATCTGAGATTAGTGCTCAGGTTGCCAGACTGTAACAGAATAAAGAACGACCAGTCCTTGCCACCCTGTTGTTAGCTTTATTGGCTCAAAAAGGCTTTGATATCTTCAGGAGGTATATGCAAAGCGATTTCATAAACCAGAAGGAACTATGGAGGGACAGACCTCCTCATGGCAAGCTGGCTTTTCGATGCATACTTCGTAACACTGTGTGACAGCTGTAGCTGGAAGAGACAAGGAAACAAAAGAGGTGAGAAAGCCCTTGGGAGTGCAGCTGCCTAGATGACTTGGATGACTGTTGGTATTCTGGCACTAGTCCTCTAAGTAATTTTCTCATAGATTAGGCAGAAGACAGAGTATATAACCAGTGCTAACTTTAATATGAAATTTTCTTTCTTCATTGTTTCTGTTTGTCTCATTTTTCTCTCTTTAGACCTGTGACGAGGAGCTGAGAACAGGTGAAAAGAGAGAACGATGCCTTCAGGGGAAACGCCTACTTCTGTGTACACTTCTCAGTACTCTCCTTGGCTTTACACTGCTTATCACCTACATTGTGATGACTTGTAGTCTAGGTATAATGTGGAATATCATTTTCCCTGCTTCCTTATCCCCCTCATTTTTAAGACCCCTTTCTCTCCTACCTGCCTCCCTTGTGTATTAGGCTTAGCATCTGTTTTAAGAATCAGATGTTCAGAATCTCAAAGAGTCATAACACCAGTTGTAAGAAAGATATGCTGTTCTGCCTCTTCCTTGGGTCATAGAAGGGAGAGATCCCCACAGCTATCCTCCTCCTCTGTCTGCCATTTAATATGCCTGGGCTCACTTTTGAGGGAGAACATCATTATATTGTCTTGCATGTCATCATCATGTCATGTTCTGTCTGTAGTCACCTCCAGCAAACTGGACTGAATGTGGAATTTAGAGCTCCTCCTCCACCTTTCTGCCTCTGACTTAATAAGTTTAGTCCTAGTTTTGGACTAGTGCAGACCAGTGCAGTCATTGTGTAGAAAGAAAAGTCATAGTCTCTTGCTAATGGGGGAGCTGTGAGCATAGACCTGAAATATTAGTTTTCCTTTCAAATTTGCTAAACAACCATCTGCAGAATGGTTCATGTAAATGTTTATGCATATAGAATGCTCAGTGCTGAAGGTGGATTTGCATTGGTGGATACAGACATTCCCTGCTCCAAAATAAACATTATTGACTCTTCACCTAGCATTTTTTTTTAGCCCCTGTTGTGTGTTAGAGACCATTCACTACAGAGAACAAAGAAAAACCATTAGTTTAGATTTCCACTCTGCCTGCCTCCTCCCATGTCAACTGTTTATAGCATGGAAAGTCTGACTTTGATTTACCAGTGGCTTATTTCAGTAAATAATTGATCTGATCTGATGCTGAAACAACACAATGAACCAAACCAAGAACACATACCCAGTGATTTGCAGCAGTTTAGATAAAGGGATTTTAGATCAAAGCAAGATATACTAGAAAGTCTTGGTCCTGTTTTAACAAATGTCATTCCTCAGAAATCTTTTCCATGCTTGAACACCTCCCTCCATATTTTAAACTTATCTCCTTAGTTTCTCTTTGCTTCATGTGTTGGCTCCATCAGCTGCCTTTTGTTTATCATTTGGCCAAATTTGGCTGATTCAGAGAAATACACTGAGAAGGCAGAATAATACCTGTTACTGCCTAGTTAGTATGAACAGAGGACACCACTTGTCCTTTAATTAAAGAATCTCCCTTATAAAGTGCAAAGACCCTGTGAAGTGAAAGACAGAACACACTTTGTTCCATATTCAGCAAAACATTAGAAGGAATTCAACACTCTGCATGAAAAGGAGTTTGTACCAAAAATAAATCTTTCAAGGGGAAATGTCTGAGAGATAGCTCCTCTTTTTTTTTTTTTTTGTGGTGTTGTTTCATTTTATTTTATTTTGTTTGGAGTTGTTCTCACTCTCCACTGTCACTACTTATTCTCACCTATTTACTTCCTGCCCAGGATCCTGTGATGCTGGACTGGGTTTTACACTGTTGGCCAGACTCCTGAATTCTAGGAATGACACTGTAGACCCCTGTGAGGATTTCTACAAATATGTCTGTGGAAGCTGGGAAGGCAAACACTCAAGCCGAACCACAGAGGAATCACTAAATGTATTTGATGTGTTGTTGGAAGAAAACCAGTTGATCCTGAAAAGGCTTTTAGGTAGGGACACATGATTGGTGTGTTACCTTCTGCATCTTCCTCAGTCAGAACTGAAAATACTAATAACTGAGAACACAATCATTCCAAGCAGAGACTGAGTTTAGTCTCTTCATTCTTCCATCATTACAGGTACAGATTTATTCTTGAGCATGCTGTACTATAATAGCTGCATTTTAAACATTTTAGTTCCCCTTGCCAAGTGTAACAGATGAAAGTCACACTTTAAAATTCTGACAGCAGCTCAAGCCATTTTGCTTGTAGACCCTTTTTGCTGTGCTTGTCTGAAAGTGCATTCTGATCATGTCCTGACTCCAGTCCTGAAGCCTAGATACACAGCACCTTCCTCTTGTGCTCCAGTTCCCATGTGAAGAAACTCACATATTTGACCTCAGGAAGAGTCGTGGCACTAGAATGCCTCTTGCTCTGAGTGACTGTGGAAAAGTGTAGATGTATTTATTAAATTGTTCTGAATCAAAGTGCAATGTAATATTTTCTTACAACCTTTCTCTGCTCTAACACTGACAAAAATTTATTTTATTTTACCATTTTTGTAGTTTTTAATATTTTTTTTTTCCTAAGAGAGCCCACAGTTCGGAAGAAGAGGCTCAGCTAAGGAGAAAGCAATCCGGTTCTATCGCTCCTGCATGAATACCCAACAGATAGAATCCCAAGGAACTCAACCATTGAAGGACATCTTAAATCAGGTGAATATTTGCGGTATTTCCTCTCCCTCCAGAAGGTAATTCCTGCAGGGAAAACTGTGAAGTTACAGTCACATGGTACCACATGATGTAATTTTGCTAGCATCTGGCCTTCCCTCCAGAAGGTAATTCCTGCAGGGAAAAGGGAAGTGTGAAGTTACAGTCACGTGGTACCACATGATGTAATTTTGCTAGCATCTGGCCTGAAATAAGCTCATAGTTCACAGCAGAACTAAGTGACAAATCTTCTAGCTTTAAATGCTGTTTCAAGATTTGGTTTTCTGACATCAGGTACCTGACTCTTTCCTCATGACCTTACATATTACTTCAGGGCTGTACAACAACCACTACAAAGAGGGATCATTCAGAAGCTCAGTTCAATACGATCCAACTTACAAATCAGGGAATATCTTGCAAAATAGGTGAAATTTTTGTGTCTAAGATCTGATGGCCACCCAGTACTCCAGGCTTCAAGGGAGCTTGTTTAAAGAGAAAAATGCTTCTCCTTCCATTCTGGGAGGCTCCTCTCAGTGCCAGGGAGGGTTGTACATCTCTCTGCTGGCATAGGACAGTTATGCCCTGTCTCCAAGGAGGTTGCAAAGCCTTCCAGCAGAAAGAATAGTGACTGCAGGCCCACCTGTGAATCTAGTTCTCAGACAGGTGGGACCTCTAATCCCTGCTCCCTGGTTATCCTTCTGGATGGCTTCAGAAAAATGAGACTTCTTCCCTCTCTGCTTCTTCTGCTTTTTCCCATACGTCTTTTTCTGCTGATAATTATCATTCCTTTTCCCTGTGTCATTTTGCAGTTAGTTGTTTTGCTTAAGTGAAAGTGACAGGTCATTTTCAAACAAACAGGGTATGTAAGAGAAAACTTCATGAGTTTTCTCTGCTGCTATTTACTTTGCTGCTTCTCAGTTGTCATAATGGCTGAGCTCATAGGAGTGAAAAAAGATTTTGTAAATACAGATCAAACAAGTGTTTCTCTCACTTGGTGTCATGCTGTCTCTCTCCCTCTCTAGGTTGGTGGATGGAATATCACAGGTGTAGGGAAAGCAAAAGATTTTAATGAAACTCTTCGGACTCTCATGGGCAGATACAGCACCTTTCCCTTTTTCAGAGTGCTTGTAGGACCTAGTCCTTTTGACCCCAAGGCTAATATTATTCAGGTGAGTAGACTAAAGAACAAAAATATCAGCAAGCATGGTGAATAAAGAGTCAGTTACACAGCCCATAAGACCCAGGCTTGTCAATCTTGTCTAAAGAAAGTTTTCCTAAATTTCGGTAAAGTACTTGATTTTATTACATAAAAAGGACTTATTTCTGGAAAATGGGCAGATGAGGAAGAATAAATTGCATAATTTCTCTCATTCTCTTCTGCCTGACAGTGTAGATTGTACTTCACCATGGAAGGGTCTGGTTCTTCTTATGTTCACGGGGATGACTAGTACAATAATGGCCTCTAACACACATAGCAGCTCACTGTTGTGGTTTAAACCTGGTAGACAGCTAAGCAGCACACACCTGCTTGTTCATTCCTCCACCCAGTGGGATGGGGAAGAAAATCAGAAGGGTAAAAGTATGAAAACTCATGGGTTGAAAAAAAGACAGTTTAATAATTAAATAAAAGTGCTTCACCCAGTACTTTTATTGTTAAGTATGATGTCATGTGGTATGGAATATCCTTTTGGTCGGTTGGGATCAGCTGCTCCAGCTGTGTCCCCTCCCAATTTCTTGTGCACCCCCAGTCTACTCACTGGCAGCATGATGCGAGGAGCAGAAAAGACCTTGACGCAGTGTAAGCACTGCTCAGCAATAACTAACACCTCACTGGGTTATTAACACTGTTTTCACCACAAATCCAAAACACACGCTGTGTAAGCACTGCTCAGCAATAACTAACCTCACTGGGTTATCAACACTGTTTTCACAGCAAATCCAAAACATAGCTCTACAAGTACAAGCTACTACGAAGAAATTTCACTCTATCCCAGCTAAAGCTAGTGTGTCATGTAGAAATATTTAAAGGTGTGGGTTACATTTGAATATCAGTCACTGCAGATTTGTAATGAGCTTGTAAATGAGCTGCAGAATATGACAGATCCACAGAAATTACTTAGCAAAATTTTTTGAAAAGTAAAAACAATTTATTAACATTTCAAATATTGTGACACAGAAACTAACAAAGCCTGTTGATCATATCCTCACTTTTCCATTGTTTCTGGAAATAGCGAGATGTTTTTTTCTGTACTCCTTTTTTGCAGATTGACCATCCTGAGTTTGAGGTGCCGCTTGAGAGTAAATTCAAAGCGAAAAATTATCTTGAGGTAACATATCAAAGGCTGAGGAAAGGTAAAAATAGTTATTTGGTGTAGGGATCTCCTTGAATTGCGTCCTGGTTCAAAGAGGTCTGTTTCCATGGGTTACGGTCAGTGACCTCTGAAAATGTCTATAGAAGGAATTCTTTACAGAACTCTCTACTTTTCCAGAAAGATACTTTGTAAAATGTAACCCATTTTTAGATGCCAGGTTTAAAACTTCTAGTGTAGAAACAGAATGTTATAGTTTTAATTTGTATTTGCTAAGTAATATGAACCCAGGCTTCCCTCTTGGTTTCACCGTAAATGAACGTCAAAAAAAAAAGTTTGTGTCCAAAGCAAGCATTTATAACTTAAAGTATGTATTGGAGGACAGGTAGGTAGTATTTTCAAAGTTATTTTAAAATGTTTTAACTTAAGCTGGGGAAAGAAGCTCTTTGACCTTGAGAGTTATTGCAACAAAGTTAATTTCATCACAGGTCTGACATTTTTCTGAACATTATAAAAATTAAGTTGATTTCAGTTTCTCAATCTGACTCGTTCAGAAGAGTCCTCAAAAAAATAAGCCTGTCTACCCATCACAAACATACCTTTGATACTTCAAGAGTATAGACACAAGAAGCTGGCTTTTTCTGTCTGTCCAAAACGCTGCCTCATTATATTACTACCTGTCCCTCCTTTGGCTCCAGAGATGGCAGGCCTACATCTCTGAAATTATTCCAGTATTTAATGTAATTGTAAGCTGGGACCTTTTGGGAATTCAGTGTTCTTCACTGAAAGATGATCTATACTTGGCAACTGTTTTCCACATGAAGATTACATAAGGATGTTGCAGTGAAGACAACAATTTTAGGGATGGAACTGCAGTGGTTTTGAAAGAATGAAGCTTATATGGTCGAGATGGATGGTTGGATGGGGTGACTAATGTTCAGTCATGTTTCTCCCACTGGTCATATCCTCTGTATTGCAGATTCTCCGCGTGTATCTCTCATATTTGAAGAAACTGGGGGACCTACTTGGAGGACCAGTGGATGGTTCCCCTGATTTATTTTCCCCTACCTTGTCCTTCATCTCTAAGCTCCAGCAAGTTGTCACCCCACTGCAGGAAAGACAGCGGAGGGGGATGCTGTTCTTTCGCACTACCATTAGGGAGCTACAGGTATCAATGCCTTAGAACTTGGGCAGCACAATTGCATGTGACATTCACATTCTGAAGATCTGAATCAATAGAGATATGAAGCATTCGGTTTAGATGCCATTCCCTTGCAGCTTACACTTGGAGTCTGTTGAGCTATAAATAATCTATTAACTTATGGTCTTTTATCGACAGCAGTTGGACTTTTCTGGCCTACAACTCTTGCCTCTCCCCAGTGCTTACTCAATAAAAAAAGAAAATTTTCCTTTTCTACTATAATTAATACCCACATCACAAATCCAGTTTAACTTGTTGAAAGTATGTCTTAAGAGCATTAGAGACACTATCCGGGTTTTCCTATTATTTCTTGATTTCAGTTGATTTAGACTCATAGTTCAGAATGTAAGCTTTGTTTTACTTCTAGGAAAAGGCACCTGCTATTGACTGGCTGTCATGTCTCCAGGCTGTCTTCCATCCTATGCCAATGAACCTCTCTCAGCCAATTGCAGTGCATGACATGGATTATTTAAAAGGCATGTCACAGCTCATCGAAGAATGGCAAACAGAAAGGTAGGAGTCAATATCTATGGTTCTAGCTGTTTGTGCCTCAAGAAAAATTAACTTCAGATACCATCAATTAAAGAGGTCTGTGCTAGAGGCTGCTGAATCCAGTAAGCTAATAATTGCAAGGTTGCTGTGGCTCTATATCCCCAGGTTTAGCCAGTACTAAGGCTTAGCATATATTCCTAAGAGGCTTGCACATGCATGCACCATATATATACACAAGTATATTTATTTGTGTAGATATATATATGTGTGTGTGTGTGTCACACAGATCAACAGAGGTGGAACACACTGCCTTTACTGTCACCCACACACCCATAGCACTCATATAAACTTGAACAGCTCAGACAGTCTGATCCTATCACTCCTGTCGAGCTGATCAGTTTTGGTCTATACTAGTGAAATGTATGTATGTACACACACAATATGGATCACTCCAGCAGCTGGTCTTTGGTATTCAGTCTGTCGAGAAGCTGGCCCCAGATCCCCTGGTGTCCACAGCTGCTGGCACCTGGGTATGTGGGCCCCTGAGTCTTGCAGCCCTACTTTTGTTGCTGCAACTCCAATCTCTTTCTGTTACAAACCAACATACACGAGCAGATCTCTCCAGTAGGTGGTCCAAACTGCTAGTGTCTCCAATAACCAACTCTCAGAGCCCTGCTTTCTCTAACAGCTAGCTTGAACCAAAGTCCCTCCAGTGGTCAACTCTCAGACTCCTTATCTCTCCAGTATCCAGTCCCATATCTCCCACAGAGAGTAAAATTTAGTTAAGAATAGCATTTAATAAGATAGGACAGATTCTGGTGACCATGTGCAGGGCTCAATCAGACAGATACCCTGCAAGCCACAGGTTTATGCTCAAGTTTATGCTCATTCCCTCTTATACCTTCCCTCTCCATTTTCCCACGTGTGTTCACCCCAATTCACCATGATCCTTCCCTTTCCCCACTTTGGGTCCTTCCCATAAATGTCCCCTAATAAGTCTCACAGAATCCCACAGACCCCTCAAAATACTCTGTAAGTTTCACGCAGTCCTAAAAATGTTCTTTCTTCCACTTCCCATAAAGAAACCTGTGCCCCAGCAGATAATTGCCCCTTGAGTTTTGACAGTGTTCTGGGGAGACAGTTTCTTTGGTTGATTCAAGTAAAATCATCCTCCTTTGATAGCCCCAAGTGTAGCCCACTTGTTGCCATCATTCAGGTTACTATGGTTCCTCTGCCTCAAATTATTCCTTTGACACTTGCCACGTCTCTGGCGTTTATAGACCACCCTTCAATCTCCAGTCTTTTTAAATGTCATTTTCCTACAGGGTCCTTCCTATTTATATGATTCTTTGTCTGGTTGGGAATCTCTCCCCAGCCCTTGACAGTCGATTCCAAGATGCACGCCTGGAGCTATCTGGGATTCTTTATGGAAAAAAGGGATCTAGCATGGTGAGTTAGCCTTTAACCATCTTCTTCAGCCTCCCCAGCAGCTGAACACCCTAGGACACGCCTGCTGGGTGTTCTCCTGATGTCTTGTCTGGATGGAGTGTCTTAGATTTGGGGAGGAGAACAACTCTCACTAGGCCATTAAATGCTTCCTTTTTCTCGAAGAAATGTGGGAGTAGACATAACACACAAAACTTTAGAGAGCTATGTGCACTGCATCATGGGGTAGGGAACAAATATATAGATGGTCACCTTTCTTCTATGTTTTGTCTCAGCTAGCATATGAATCTTCATCTTGTGTGCAAGGGGAGTAAATCATAAGGAAATAAATGTTGTACTTGATTAAAGTTTTCTGAGGTAGCTTAAATGGAACTACATTACTTATTCACTGCTGTCATTTTTAGGTAGAAGCATATATGCTATTGACTTCACGTTTACATACCTTGTTACTGTATTCCTATCTCTTTATCCTCCTTCTCATGTGTCTCTATTTCTTTCTTTGTTCTTACAGATCCCAGCTGAGCGCTGGAGGAAGTGCTTGACTGATACCAGCTCTTTCTTTGAGCCAGTTCTAGGGCAGATGTTTGTGCAAGAAATTTTCCCTCAGCAGACCAAGAAACTTGTAGGTATTCATCCTCTTAACCCCCAAGCAGAGCTCAGCTTCATCTCTCTCTTTTTTTGACATGCCAGCTTAAGACCACATCAAGATAGCAAAATCATATGTAGATTTTATACCTTTTTACATATTCCTCTGCTTATGCACTTCCTTTCGTTTTGGGAACGAAAGATGTCAGAAGAGGACATTGCTGTCATTGCTAGAATAATGAGTGCTAAAATACTGGTTATTATCTTTATCTCAACTGTGAGGGGTCATGTGTGCAGCACCAATACCTATGACAGCCCTACAAATGCATGCAATCTCAATGTGCTTCCTGGAAAGACAGTCAGTCGCCAATATTACATACTTATATAAGATTTTCAATTGCAAACCCATTAAGCCATCATACAACCAGTTGTACAGAAACAAATCAATGTCAAAACATTCTGAGTAGATCCACAGTAAAAGGAACACCTGCCTGCAGTGTGGAAAAGATTTCTTTTTTTTTTTTTCCTTTGATTATCAAAGTTCCTTTTTCTTTTGAGGGAAGTTAGTGTAGGCACCAGGTTTTACAAAGAGTTTGCAATGTATAAAGTGGCAAGAAAAAGTAATGGAAAAACTAAGAATACATGTAGTGAACCACAAAGTGGAATGAACAAAACATAATTTTGTGAAGGAGAGACTGAGATTGCCATAACTTCGGAAAGGGAGACACTAGTGTGAAATACTAGTGGATATTGTATTTTCATTTCACTCAAGAAGCGGGGCAATCATTTGCTCCATTCCTATCATAACAGGGCTTGAATGAAAAAGAATTGTGTTTTCCTCTTAGTTGCTATGACAGGCAAGATGAAAAGGTATGTGGGAGAGAATGGTGAGCCCCATGAAGAACCACTGGATGCCAAATAACTTCAGCCTAAATCATTGTAGAAACTGAAATCTCTTTCTTCACTAGAAGAGGAATTTCCCCCCAGTTATTCTGCAGTTGAATTGCTGGAACATGAGAGGATGGTAGCTAAGCCTGAACAATGTTTTTCTGCAGTTCTGATGGTGCTTTCTTTTCTCCATGGCAGGCTGAGCAGATGTTCTCTGAGATCCAAGATGCCCTCTATGGCCAACTGGATCAGTTGGAGTGGATGGACGAACAGACTCGCCAAGAGGCTAAAGTCTTGGTGCGTGCAGAAGGCAGAAGTTACTGAGGCCTTCCTCTCCCTGAAGCCTTTGGAGAAGGAATGGAAGGGGCCTGCACCTTCACATATTCCTACCTGCTTCTACAGGCACACAATCTTAAATAGATGTCTTATACACATGGAAAATTGTAGGTGGTTTTACAAGTGCCATCACACACATACTGACGTACATTGATGTGTAGGCTTAGAGAGGCTCAGTGTTTATGCATGGATACTCTGAATTAATTGTATTGAGATACAATTCCGTTTTATACACCTAGAGAGGTTAAAAACTATAAAGCTGAATGCCAGAAAACAATTCTATAAAGAAGAGTATAACAACATCAGGCTTCAGGCAATTGATTTAAGAAAGCAGAGTAACAAGAGAAGATGTATTGTTGAAACAGAGTAACTGTCATTTTGAAAGGCTGATTCACAGATTTTATTTCAGTTGTTTAGAAACAGAGTTTAAAAAGGACTTCTAGAATGTAAAGCCTCCTATTGGTTATTTTTCTTTTTTTTTCTTTGTTTATTTATTATTATTTTAGGTTTCCAGACTACAAGTGGAGATTGGCTATCCAGCTCACATACTCCAGACTGCCGAAGTGAACCTGGACTACCAGAAAGTGAGCTATATAATGTAAACATCTCTGCCTCATTATTGGCAGTTTACCTGTACCAACTGCTATCTTGTCTGCTGCTAAAAGAGGCTGTGACCTCTGGAGCAATGCAGATTTCTTACTGTTCATTTTCTGAAAAAATATGGGCCCAGAGAACGTTTACCTATTGCTTCTATATTGTTGCCTGTCTTGTCTCCTATTTAGAGTGGCTGGCCTGATAGAGATTTGTTGTGACCTGCTGGTGTGTTCTGTTTGGTCTGCAGATAACATTCCTGTCATATCTTAAATTGAATGTCTTTAGCACTGGGAGAGAAAAAAACAGAAGTATTCCATTAGTTTGTCTTTTGATGAACCCTTTTTTGACCTGTAGGACTTCTCTCTTTCTCATACTCTCCAATTCATTCCTCAGTCATGCTCTATGACAGTCACATTACCTGTCTCTTTCCTCAGTTGGAGATAAATGAAGACACTTTTTTCCTCAATGTGATGGCTTGCTTGAAAGTACTGAGGGAAAATTCCTACCTGAAAGTCCTTCAGCATCACTCACAGGATAAGTAAGTGCCAGATACTGATGTGAAAAATATGACAGAATCACACACTCGTGAACTAACGGAGATTGAAAGGGACCTGTGGAGATCACTTAGTCAACCCTACTGCTCAAAGCAGGATCAGCTAGAGCAGGTCACTCAGGACGTGTCCAATCGTATGTGTATATTGCTCTTTTTCTGGGGAAGGGAGGGAGGAAGGGCAGTTGTGGGGACAGAAGTGGACACAGTACTTCCAGATACGGTTTCACTAGTCCTGAATAGAGGGGCACAATCACCTCTCTTGATCTGCTGGTGACACTTCTCCTAATGCAAGGCAAGATGTCATTGTCCTTCTTTGCTGCAAGGCTGCATTGCTGCATCCTGCTTAAAAAAGCCTTGAATCTGGCAGCCTTCCAGGCCTATTCAGCCTGAACTCATGCTCCCCCAAAATCCCACCATTGTGGAGGGAGGCCCAGACCCCTTGAAAAAAGAACCTTTTTTGCTCATGAACCCTTGAGTAAGGGAGGAAGCTGGTTTTCCTGGACTTAGCAGCAAAAAACCCCAGCAAAATACTGTGATGACATGAATTCTGGCAGGGTCACCTCAAAGGCAGGACATAGGATGCTTCAGAAGGCAGGCATTATTGACAGCCATGCTTGGGACCTTACATTGCCTAAAGAATATTCTGTGCAGTATTTCACAGGAGGTTAGTAATCCTGACTTGCTTGACAGGGAAGTCATGAGGGTAAATCCCTTAGCATCTATGAAAGCTAAGCTACTAGCTCTGATCATCTGTAATCAAGCAAAGGTTTATTTCAAACACCTTTAACTCTAGATAATGTGAATTTCATCATTTGCTGCTGCTCTTCGAACAGTTGTACTGAGCAGACCATTTATGCAAGTCCAGCAAGTTATGAGATACGGAATTAATACATTCTCTCATTTCTCTTTTTCTGCTTCTAGCTGGCAGGTGTCCCCCTGGGCAGTGCATTCATACTACTCAATAAGGCACCACATGGTGGTCTTCCCTGCTGGAATGTTCCGCAGTCCTTTTTTCCACATGGAGTTTCCCAGGTATGGAGGGGCTGCAAAGGTGGAAACTGAATGTAGTCCCTTGGCTGCACCATGTTTCCAGGAAGAATCTTAACAGGTCTGTCTTTAACCTCTTTTTCTCACTGCATCCCAGAAAGACAGTAAAGTGTGTGGAATAGCTTTTTCTAAAGCCAGATGGATACTTCCTTATGAATTCTGAAAGAGTGTGTCATTGACTCTGCTGAAGCAAAATCAGAATCTAGGTGAAACTAAACTAAGCCAAATATATTACTCCGGAGCAAAGTGGCAAAAGCCTTATGTAGGTTAACTCCAAAGAAGACCTTTCACTTTCGCTTCTCATTTTCTACATTCCAAAAATTCCTGAATTATAACCCATAGAAATCCAATCCAGAGAAAATAGGAGCCTCACAGAGCAACTTCTTGTCAGAAATCTTTTTCAAATGGATGAAACACAGTTCTTCTATTTTTTAATGAACCTTCTCTAATAAGCAAATACATTTTTGATTCTGAGTCTTTCCCTACAACAGTGACAATTCTGTAGACCACACTCTTATAGTTGGGTTCATTCACATATGGAACAGAACTGTTGAGCAATATTTTCCTGATATTAAAACCACTTAAAACAGTTGATGGTAAAAATATTATTTGATGCCCTTTTTTGCATGGTGATGGATAGATACTTCTCCTAATCCCATTGTAGTGAAAAATAAACTCACACTGTGTCAAGAGGCTGAAGTTTGAAAGAAACATATCTCAGTTAAAAGTAACTACTTTCTCCATGGTGGTCTTCTACCACTAGTTGTATGACATCTTCTAGTGCTTACTTAATACTATAATTTCATGAATTCATTATAGTATTTAGAACAGGACACCTCAAAAGAATAATAGATTATTTTTTTTCCAGTGGTATAGGCTGTCACAATACTCTGCCTCTCTGAAAAAAGTGTCTACAGCTTCATATTCCTTTTTTATTCAGTGTTAGTAAAAACTATTTTTCTCACTGTCATCCCAGTTGAGTAGACTGATAAGTCCAATTTGATCAGCTTTTGGTGAGTTGGCACAATAGCATTTTCTCAGATGATTCTTCAAAGATTAAACTTTACTGACAAAATCTGTTACAGATGACTGGAAGGATAATTTTTAAAATAAGAAGTCAGCAAAGCAGTGCAATTGTTATAGAATCATAGAATAGTTTGGGTTGGAAGGGACATTTAAAGATACTCAGTTCAACCGCCTTGCTATGGACAGGGACATCTTTCACTAGATCATGTTGCCTAAACTCCCACCCTTGACCGCTTCCAGTGATAAGGCACCCACAACTTCTCTGGGCAACAATTACATTATTAGGTACAGAGCTTCTGAAAGAGCAGTTATAAGAGAAGATGAGTTCTGTTCTTGTCACGTCCTACTGAGTTCCAGTGATGTAATAATGATCTACTACAGTGATTTCATGCTTCAGCAGGGTTAATTGGTGCATGTAAAGAAAGAATGAGCCCATCATTTCATATTATGGAAATGCATTTTGAACTTGTATGACTATTTGTAAATTCATTGCATAGAATCATATAAATTCTGGAAAGAACTGTTGGAGGTCTCTAGTACAGTATCTTGCTTGTAGCAAGATCACCAATGCTAGACCACAGTAATTGTGGTCAAACCTTCATGATTTTAATTTGTCTTGCTAGTTTTATGTGTTATTTTTCACTAGACAACTGTTGCAAGATTGCTTCTCCCGCCATTCTGCTTTTGTTGGATTACTATTGCAGTTACTTTTTGTGTAGCAGTTCAGCCAGTATTGGGTAAATAAGGACATATCTTGACAACAATACGTGCTGTTACAGTTACTAAAGGCAGAATCTCATTCACAGGCTCTTTCTGATGTTGGCTTATTAGCTACAAATACTTTAATGAAGCCCATAGTACAAGTTTAAGCACTGGTAGAGTAATTTACACTTGGATTTGAATTTTTACAGAGTGTACCACATCTGAGAGACATTAAATAGAAAGTGCTTCTGTATGCTCTCAGTAGAATGCTCCTGTGCTGCCCACAGTTGTGCTCAGTGAATATAAAGAATGCTCACCTGCCCTCCTTTTCCTCTCCAAAGCACTCTTTTCATGTTTACTTTTCAGTGCTGTGAACTTTGGAGCCATCGGGGTCTTCATGGCGCATGAACTTCTTCACACGTTCTATGGTTATGGTGGGTACTGGCTGTGGTGTCTTTGTTTACCCTTCTAGGTCCCCACTAGTACTTTCCCTCAGAGAATCTTAAATCTTGGTCCCTATATAAATGTATACATGTATTATTAAGGCAGATGAAACTAAGGAAAAACCCATTCCAGGCCCTGCTGACTAGTAAGAAGGCTCAGTGACTAGTGTGAGGAATACAGGTGTAAGTCAGAAATACCTTTAGTTTCTAGGATCTTTTTCTTTCCCCACAGTGCTTCCTGGGGGCTGTCACACGTGCAACAGGAGTGCATTACAGAAATCCATAGACTGCTTAGTTGAACACTATGAAAGCTATCACTTTAAGGTCAATGGTACTTTTACACTGTTGGAGAATACAGCCGACACTGGAGGGCTCACCATCGCTTACCAGGTATCGTAGCCTACTTACTTCTCAGATCTCATAGTCTCTCCACACAACAGCCATGTTACAAGATTGCTCTCCTGCATTCCTCCTCTACATGCTCCTCCAGTTCCAGATTTCTTGCACGTCTTCGCCAGTGCAGCATGCACCCTACGTGTCCTCTGCTATTCCAGACACAGGTTCCTCACAAAGCTTTGATCATAAGCTCACTACTTCCATGTAAAAACACTTCTTCCCTTCACCAGTTCTGGGGCGGGCCTTTCTTTATTTTCCCATTTACATCATGCATACAAAAGCATGATATTTTTTATATGTTCACATTATACCTCAGGAACTAAGCTGAGATATGAACCAGAAGTCTGTGGGGTGGTAAAATGACTCCATAATGATGTTTTCAGCAATACTTTAGTCGAGAGAATTTTTTATTTCCTCATGCAGTAGTTCAGCAGCTGAAATAATTACTGAATGCAGGGTGTTCTGAGATCTCTAGGTCTCAGATGGTACTTGTTATATTCTTGCACGAAGAATGTTGGGAGGTAGAAAGTCTTTTAATTTTTATTCAAATATTTGTGACTTTCTTTGAAAGTAACTTTCATTCTTTCACAGTACAGTCACCACATCTCTTATGACGATGTGTGAGTGGTAGTGTCTAAAACAGGAAAGGAGTTACGTTGTTATTCTCCCATCTTAGAGTTATTAGGGGCATGCTGGCAGCAGGGAGCTTCAGAGTGAGGATACAAACTTGCTTATTTACTAAAGATATATTAGATTGCTGTATTTCATTGACAGACGACATGGTTTGGGAACACTATGTGAAAGGGGATTTATTATTATTAATTTTCTCTCTCCACAGGCATATAAGAATTGGCTGAAAAAGCACAAAGAGAAGAATTTACCTAAGATTGGACTTTCACACGACCAGCTTTTCTACCTCAGTTTTGCTAATGTAATTAATTCTAGGATAGTCATGTGTATCTCGTCTTCCACACTATTCAGTTTGTCTTTCTCAATATTCAATCACTTTTCCCCCTCTTCACAGAACTGGGAATGACCGATGTTCCTGGGAGATCCAGGATCTTATTTAGAATGCTAAAATTCACCTATAGGGCCCCTAATGTGTTGTGGATCTCAAAGGTAACAAAAGGCCTGTCTGCAATTACAAAGCTCTGAAATCTACCAGATTGAAGTTGTAGCAGACAAGTTGTGTGAGGGAAAGCATGTTTCATTGCTAGTTTCTGAGTACTTTTTTTTGCTGCTGTGAGCAATCTAACTCATGTGAAGTGGAATTTTACTGGAAAAGGCGTGTATCTCTCCATCCTTTCTTTCATCTGCCCCTCTGTCATGGTGAACAACCACATGTCATGCCATTCTGAGTGACATACAATGAAAAAAGGAGTTTAGCATGTTATTTAGAGATAAAGAACTAGAAGTACATGCACATATACTCTGAGATTTCTGTGGGAACCTGGTCTAAGGATTTGTGCAAAGTTGTGCATCTGTGCATAGTTCCTCATGACAGATCATTGGATTTCTGTGCTCAGAAACGTCACACCACTGTAATTCACTGTGGTTGTGCAAAGGGAAAAGTTTTGTGTGTGTATTGACATTAGGTCAGAGCACTGCGTAGAAAAGCAGTTCTGAAATCACAGAGTATTGGGTCTTGGTGGCAAGATTTGCATTTCAGAGGCTCTCTGGGAACTACTTTGTCATTTGTCGATGAATAGAGACTGAAATCACGAGAGTGAAGACTTGGATTCTCAGTTTAACACCCGTAAAATCACAGAACCTTCCCCCAGTCTCTTGAATAGTAATGGGATGTTGTGCAAGTGCGCTCCTTTATTGGTGAGCGCCTATTGCTTTTGCTTAAGAAGCTGAATCTAGACACTAAGATTACATCTATACCATTAATTTAGGTGTGGTCCAAGCTTGCATGAGCCTAGACTCCAAGATGGTCTAAATTCCCTGGGTTCTGGACTACACAGTATAGAAAAAGGGCAGGTGACTTGTCAGGGAAATTGGGACAGAGAAGTTTAGGAAAAGGGAAAACAGTCAGAAATTGTGGTGGTGAGCATTGTTGTGTTTAAGTGTGTTTGCTTGTTTATTCCAGCAGCCTCAATCACATGATCAGAGGCATGAGGAGCGTTAACTCTTGTTCATGTGAGGACTTTCAGCCAAACTGACTTTTCTGTTTTGCTTCCTTTCAGACAATGTGTGGACATCAGGATCCGGAGAAACTAGAGTCTTCCCTGAACACAGATCCACACAGTCCTTTGCCACTTCGTGTCTGTGGGCCTGTCAGCAATAGCCAGGACTTTGCCAAGCACTTCCGCTGTTCCAGTGGATCCCCAATGAACCCAGAGAAAAAGTGCCACGTCTGGTAATCTGCATGGAAAAGGAGGAAGAATGACCCCAGGGAGAGGAAGGTCTGAGCCATGGAAGTATTACCATCTTCTCAGGGCCCCCAGGGTGACATGGTGCTCTTATTCACTCCTCTACCTTCCTTTTATTGTTATCCTTTCCTCAGCAGTTGATGGTACCAAAATTCTTAATCTGAGATCATAAGGGAAGAGGGTCTCCTCCTCCTTTTTTCACCATTCTGTCCCAGGTGTGACAACTCTGGAGTTTAGCAAGTCCCAGGGTAACAAGATGACTATTCAGTCTCTAGCAGGCAACAGCTTCTGAGGAATTGTAAACAGTGCCGTGCTGTCTGCTCCAGCAGGCTCACACAGTCAGGTTGAATGGGCAGGCAATAAATTGGAGCTCTAAGATTTGTTCATCTAACATTGGGTCTTAAGGAAATCCTAGAAGTTACTATGCAAACCACAGATGTAGTTAACAGAGAGGAAAGAATCTTCTTCTCGTCTTCTGCCAATAAATGAAGATAAGCAGTAGGAAAGACTTGGTGGCTCCAGCTTCTAGGCTGAAAATGACTTGATAATAAAGGTTACCGAAGGCCTTCCCTGTTCTCTTGTTTCATCAGCAAAACTCCTAAGAGATGAAAGAGGAAAGAAGAAAGGATCCCCTCTGGTGGGAGGGGGATTGGGAACTGAGAACATTGTCTTTCGTCTTTCTTTCTTTCTTTTCCGTATTTTTTAAGTCTATATTTAGGGTTGAGGATATGGTTGAGGGTGGAGTATGGGAAGTCACAAGTGTTTCTAGAAATCTGAAGACTGAACAATTAGAATTCCAATAACTTCTCTGGATTCTGAACCTGGTTCTCTCGTCTCCCTACGTTTGTAAATATTTACCATTCAAACAGAGGAATAGAGCTGCTGTAGGCTTTTTTTTTTTTTAACCTGAAAATGAATTTTGTATATTAATTTACTTTAGAGGAAAATGAAAATAAGAAGTAATATATGTTAGGATGGCAGGGGAAGTGCTTAAAGCATTCATTTCAGGTTCTGATAATTAGAAAGTTTATACCAGTATTCTAAAATCTAGCACAGTTAATAAGTATACAAAATACTTCTACCTTTTGCATACTCTTCAAACTGTTCTTGATTATGGGAGCATTTTTATTTTACTTATTATATTGGCTGCCTGGGGATTGTTTGTGGAGTAGGTGATGGCAAGTGGAAACATCCCTTATCAACATAAGCATTGTGAAAATCCCAAGAATTGTGTTAGTCCTTTCCAAGTACTGACCAATGCAGCAAAATATTTTCCAAGAACAGACTGTCCAGAGATTTTGTTTTCATTAATTAACTAAAATATTAATAAAGTGTTTCTTCAGAGAAAATAATTACTTTGATTGCAAACTTTTTATGACCAGGCCTGTTTCTTTGTTCTGTATTTGTACTGTTTCCAGCATGACTGGAGTTCTTAGCTTCGCAAGTAATAAATAATAATACCTTGAAGTAATTTGATTTATTTATCCATCATAAAAAATAACAAAACTGGGCTTATGCTTATCTTTACCATTTAAACACTGTATAGTCTTCCTCCACTGTTTGAGCAATTTTGTCTGAGCAGTGTGTCCAGACTGTCTTTCTTTTAGATGTCAATAGCAATTAACATTGTACCAGACCTTGTGTGTAATATAGAAGTTGTTGAGACTACTTGGCTTCTTTGTTTCTAATGTATAGAAAAAGCAAAAGCTATTGACAGTTTGCATTTCAAGGAATCTCTAAATTTTCCTCGTATCTATCTTGTTAAGTGTATGGGGGGACAGTTCCATAGAATATGCAATTTCTTCTTGTTCTTACAAGATATGATGAATGTATGAATACTGTGTTTAAAAGACAGGGTCTCCCTTGAAGTTGGTAAGTTGAATCAATTATTGTGATATCTATTCTATTGATAAAATCAAACTATCTATGATGATTTTACACAAAGAACATATGGGAAGTGCATGAAGGGAGGTCTGGCTTTAGAAAAAAAATGTATGAATCTTGGAATGATAATTTATTGTGTTTCTCAAGGAGATAAGGAAATATTTTCAACATGTGCACAAGGTCTCTGCCCTTGTCCTCAGTGTTGCAAGTTCCCTGGGATGTAGTTGGTGAAGTCAAGTCATGCTGACTAGTAAGTGGTCACGAAAACACAGAAGATGTTATACTCAAATTGTTATACTCATGACCATACAAATTATTTCATGCTTCATGTCACACATAAGAAAAAGAGCACAATGCTGCAAGTGTTCAGGAAAAGAGCCAGATCCAACCGCAGATCCTTCACTGCTGAATTCCTCAGTCTCTGTGAGTCATCGTGCTGCACCATGTCGATCACCTCTGTTCCTTCCCCCACTGACGAGATCACAAATATTTCCTCCATTTGCTTCCAACCTGTAACAGGGGGTGGGTGGGGAAAACATAAGCTTTCTTCTTTTTCTCTTCTTTCATACCCAGATCCCTTTCACCTCTGCTTCCCTCCCCTTTTATCTCCCTGCTTTCTAAACTTTCAATTCCATTTCACCTTTATTGTGTGTCCATTTTTGCCTTCATTCTAAGCAGCTTTTCATTCATTCCACTTTCCACCTGCTGCTTCCCTTGTCCTTTTCTTGTTTCTATTCTTCGTCATTCAGTATATATTCCTCTATGCTCCCCTTCCCCATAGGATCCTCATTATTCCCAAGTGTGGTTTCTTGATGTGTTCGGATGTGAGTGTGCAAACCTGTCCTAAACTTCTCTCCCTTTGCCCTGCTAAGTGCATACAATTGCAGCAAGGGAGCAAGTGGTCATCCAGGAAGGGAAGAGCATCATTATTACTATTTTGCAAGTGGAACTGAGGAACATCTTTCTTCCACTGATTTTCTCTTCCCTTATTTTTTCACTCATGCATTTAGCCAATTTCCTCACTTATTTCTCAACACACTTCCTCGCTGACTGTTGCCTATCTTGCTTTCTCTCTTCCCATGCTGGCTCTGCTTCTCAGACTTGTTCTCCCAGAATTGCTGCAGTTTGGTTTTTTCTTGGGTATGTTGAGTGCTGTGATGGAGATAGGATGAAGCTTGGCTTGGAACAAAGTGCCTGCTTCCTTATGGCTCTATTTTGGCTCTATCACCAGTTTATGAGCAAAGAACTTTACTATTAGACTACATCCCATCAAGTAATAGTAGGAGAGGTGTCACGAGAAAGACTGCAACTACAGTGGCAAATGTGACTGCCTCCCAAAATGAACAGCAGAACATTGCACAATACAAGTACAGAACACAATGAAATATTTGTATAAGTACATTGCTTATATGAATAAGAGAGTGCTTGCCTTTGAAAACTTTTATTTTGGAAACCACTTTCTCCTTACTCTCCTTTCTTTGCATGTTCGTCCTTTCCCCTTCTTCTGTACTTTTCCATTATGAGTCATCCCAGATTCATTCTTTCATCTTTTCAGGGCCATAATTACAGTAACAGGCCTTAATGACCTTTACCACCCTCAACTGGGGTCTTCACCCCCATCCTCTGCCCATGGGTCCAGGAGCTTCATTTAAGCTCAGTCCTGGGTCTCCAGTCTCTATTTGTGGTCTGTTGCAAGATCTCCAGCTCCAGCATCATCACAGCTGTGCCTGGCCACCAAACCCTGTTATTCTAGATCTTGACGTAGAAATTGACTTCCTGGTTTGACTTTGAATATGGCTTAGCACTGTGGACTTGCCTGGCAGTCATGGGAGTGTGTCTGACCCTGGTTTCTTTCATTGGATCAGGTCCTGACCCTGGCTTTGCTGACTTTTACTCCTGGCTCGACTTTGAGCCTGCCTTATGATTATGGACTTACTCGATGATCTGTATTCTTGACAGAATAACTACCTATCCCTACCTATAACTAGTATCATCCCCAGGCCTTCCTTGCTTGCCTTGCTCAGGGGCTGTGGGGACTGGGTTCTGGCTGGGGTGACACTTGTCTGCTGCCTCCCTGCCCCTTAGAAAGCAGCTGGAACTCGCTGCTCCCTGAAAGTTAACTGGGGCTTTCTTGAGCACAGAGGTGAACATCATGGAGCTGGGCCCACCTCTAAGCGGGGCCTATGATCCCTTCTGAGGGACCAGTCTGCCCCTGGGTGCTGCACCCTGGATTCCTGGCTGCCCAGCCTCTAGCGCTCCCCAGGGTTGGCCTGGGCCTTTCTTTGCAAGACCTCTGAGCCTCTACAGCTCCTTGTGGGCAACCTGATCCACACCCTGTCCCCCTCCCTCAAGCTTTAAGCACCCCATATGCCACATCTGTTTCCCAGTTTCTCATCCCTTTCCTGGCTCTTTACCCTGTGGCATCCCATAGCACTTTAATCACTCTACAGAATGTGTATTTATGACCCCAGAGCTCTGCAGGGTGTGAGGGGGGGGCTGTTGAGAGGGGAGGCTGCAGTCGGGGCCATGAATGAACTAAGAGGCTTTAATAGCCCTGACCAGCCTCGACTTGTGCCTCCTCCCGCACCCTCTACCCCATTTAAGCGTAAGGCTGGGCAGTCACTGGGCTGTGTCTGACCCTGGTTACCCATCATAGTGTCTGATCCTGACCTTGACTGGTATTGTTCCTTGAATTTGGACCTGTCTCATCATTGTGGACTTCCTTAGTGACCTCTCGTCTGACCCTGACTACCATCCCGAGGCCTGTCCTGCTTGTCCTGCTCAGGGTTATGGTGATTAGGCCCTGGCAAATGAGGGTCTTATGCTGCCTTCCTTGTTACCACACTCAGTTGCTGGCTCCCTATTTCTTATGGACCATCTGACCCCCACTGCTTGGCACACATCTTTTCCTTCCTCTTCTGCTCCTGTCTTTCCAATACCAAGCTTCTGTGTCCGTACCCCTTCTCATTTTTTGCCTTTATTTGCCCTCCATGCCTCCTCTTCCTCATCCTCTCATTCAACCCATCTTCTCACCTGCTGACGTACTTTCTTGCTGTCCATTCTTGGCTGTGTGCATCATGGTCTGGCTTTTCAGTGGTATGAAGGCATTAGAGGACACTAGGCAGTAAGTGGCCGGGAACATGGCCACCAGATAGATGGTAAATCCCAGGGAAGCTATCAGGGTTGGATTACCCCCCATTTAGTCAGCCTGTCCAGCACAAGACACTTTTGCTTCTCACCCCTTTTCAGCTAATGGAGTCAGGATCTCCCTAGCACCACAGTCTTACTCAGGGCACATTGTGACATCAGCGGGCTCATCTGACATACACTGCTAGGCAGAAACACTGTGGCTTTGCCATCATAGATAGCTAACACCACCATAAAGCACGAAAAGAGTCTGAAAGCATTTGGGAATCAATACGAGCGTGTTCAAAGTTCTGCTCAAAGTTAATTAGAATGAAAAAGATAGGATCATAACAATAGGACACCACCTGATGTGAAAAATCACACAATCCTGAACATTTCTGTAGCTCCCCCTTACCAGTAGTGCTCAGAAGTAACCGACTGAAACTGGAGAAAAAGTGTTTTATAGTGAAAGGAAAATGTAATTACTTTCCCTCTTTGGTGCTTAACCTGTATCGGCATTTTTTGCTGTTTGGCTCACACAGCCTATGTGAATAGAAACAAATTTTTGAGCATTTTTTGCTGTTTGGCTCACACAGCCTCTGTGAATAGAAACAAATTTTAAAAAAAAACAGTAGAATGACAAGCATGTGTTTTTAAATGTCCTCTAGATGGTGATCTAACAACATCAATACAGAAACAGCTCATCTTACAAAGCACCAATTCTACAGGGGAAAAACCATGTCCTACTAACCCTTGCCATTCACTTTGTCAGACCAAATTGCCCACTCTAATTGACTCTCTGTCCAGACTACATTTTAGGACTCTGATAATAACTTTCCACCATGTGGCCTAAGTGACAATTTTCTGATTATTTTCAAATGCAAATTGATCCCCAACTATCATTTGCTGTACCACATATCTTCCACATTTCTTGTATTTACATATAGTTTTATGTTACCATTGGCACTCCCTTTTCCTTTAGTTTTATTTTTCCCTTTTCTTTTCTGCTATTAATAATGGTCTTCTTATTCAAGATCTTTATGTTTTTTCTGAAATGCTCAAATACTTGTCTGAAATCTAGGCAAGTCAGGAATTGAGCTTGTCAAATCAAGATAATAATTACCCCAGACCTAGAAGTAAGCACATTCAAGGAAATATACATTCTGATTTACAGACACTGAGATTTCTATACCATATGGTGGGTTTGGGACTTTTTCAGCTTGCTATCCAAAACATTGAAGGATTTTTTTTCCTGCTAGTCTTCAGCAGACTTTACCCTCAGCCCAGAAAGTGCTAATTAGAACTGAACTTCAGGAAACTAGAAGATAAATTTTTCAGAAATATTCATTAAGTTGAATGGTTGAATATTACATGGCTGTATGAATTTCTTATATACTGTCTCCTAGTGAATGGTGTGTAATAAGGAGTGAAATCAACATACCAGATATCAGTAGCTA